CTAGGGGTAGAGGTCTTTGCTGACTACCAGAACTCTGAATGGCTCAAGTTACAGCATTATCTTTTCACTCCTACACACCATCCGCCTGAGTCAGATTTAAGGTAGTTTGGCATTAGAGCAGACTGTACCCGAGACACCCCAGCACAGGGTCCTGAATGACAAAACCCTGTCACTGCTGTCCCTACAAACTGCAAATCACAGCTAAAAGTCCTATGTTTTGGTTGGGTGACTACCAAACAGCTGTTTCTTTCTCTTTCTTGATCAGGAACCCATTCCCTTTCACCAGGAGTGTGGAAAATACGACCAAAAAGTAAACTTTCCATAGGCAAGAGCCCTAAATGCAATAGGTGAGAACATCAGAAGACCTCAGAAGCAAAGGAACTAAGGAAGCAGGGTATGCTTCCATGAAGTAATCCTTATCGGAAGGTGTCGCTCGTTTTTGGACCAGGAAAAGCGTGGGTGGAGCGTCAGCAGTGCACTTTCCCACGTTAAAGGTGATCCACTTGTACACCCCGGTGTGGGTTTCATGTCCACGTTACGACATAGTTAATTGAGTTTGTATCTGGCTGATCAGGTGACACACGCTATCTTCTCCTCAAGCAAAACGGCCCCACACGTGGAACGGTGGAGGGCACGCACGTTTGGCTACAACCCATCTGTAAGGAGTCCAAGTCTTGTAAAATCATTTTAAGCAGCAAGTTTGTCAAGATTCTCTTTGGTCGTGCACAGATGGTTACAGAGTGAGGTTTGTTTGTGATGTTGCTGCCTTCCTCCATACTTCATTTCTGATACTCAGCAGTCTGCCTGCCTTTGACAGGAAAATGAAGAACCTATCACAGGTTATTCTTCAAGTTTACTCTTATTCTACAGGTTTACCCTTCAAGTAAACGCAAAGTAAGGGGATGGTTCTCACAACTTGATCCAAGAGTGCTGCCGTCTAAACAGTTACACTTACAACCCCACGGATTGGCCTTATACAACCTTTATTTCACTCTGCAGGAGCAAACGCAGCGGAACTGGGTCTATTTTTGCTGAAGGTTTCAGCCGCGGAAGGAAGACGGCAGGTTCTCGGTGAGGCGGAGCTCTGCTCCAGCGCCCCTTCGACGGGGCCGGGCTTTGGCCAGCGCTGAGCCTCCCTGCCAGCGAGTCTTGCACAAGGCCGCTCAGGGCTCGAGGAGCGGTGGTTTGAATGTTCAGCTCAGCCGCACCCAGCGAGGGACCCGCAGCAAGATTAAAATTCACCTGCAAGAGACAAGATCTGGCACGGCTGAGGTGGGTGGCCAGCTCCCCGGGAGCTCTCCCCCCCAGGACACACACCTGAGCATCGCTGACTTGCTTTCGGCGTCTTCAGAAGCCCATATCGCAGGAACCTGCGGGTTTGCAGCAACAGTTCATCTTCTGATTTGTAGCAGGTGGCGTCTGGGGAAAAACTCCATCCTACAACTCCTTCGTCTCCCAACACCAGTAACTTCACAAACTTCCGGCACAACGAACGTTCAAAGCAGGAATTGGGATTGGGTGACAGAACATAGCGCCTAAACCAGAAACAACCCTCCTCTTAAATGAGCTGTCCCCTCTCAGACACGGGGGCAATAACCAAGTTACGCATTTCATGAACACCGCAGAGTTCTGAGGAATTATCTACTGGTTATTCTGATCTCTAGTCCGCCATTGGAACTACAAAAATCAACTTGATATTGATTTGCTCTGTGTTTCAAATGATGTTTGGCTTATTTCAGCACATATTTCTATTCAATTCAGGTTATCTAAATGCCATTTCCATTTCCTTTCCAGATCTCACTCACGGTTCTCCTCCAGCACGTACTTATGATTACCGATTGACAAGCAACAGCAGGTACAACCCTATTGCTACCGCCAAGTCTTATTCACTTGTAACAGACCAGTTTGCAGAACTTTTTAATGTCCCAAAAGGCTGCAAATTACACAAAAGGAATCACTTTGCATCCAATAAAAATACCAAGAGAATCAACATAATGTGTGAAAAAGAGGAATTTACACCTGTGCCTTACAGGGAGACCAAAGAGTTTTTATTAACTATCAAAGAAACACAGAAGGAGGTTGGAAGACAGAACAATGACAAATATTTACTGTTTGAAAACGCCGAAATGAATCAAGGGAAACAATTTTTTTTTCCCCACCTTTTGTTGCAGACAAGGTCGCCTTGAAACACGGATAGCCATTTTAGTGCAGGGCTAAGTAAAACTAACACTGTTCAAAAAGAAAGAATAAAAATGTGTCAGAATGCGAATGTAACACGTTTTCTGTTCACTCCAGTGATCTAAAAAAAATAAGACAACCAAAGCACACTTCCAGAATCATCCTCTATTTTTTTTTCAGCACAGATCTGGGAACAAGGAAAAATAACACTAAAAAAAAAAAAAAAGCTGACAAATTTCTTCACTCACACAGGAAAGCTGCTGCAGGGAATCTCCAACGAGGAACGTCCAGAGGTGGGGGGCTCAGTTTAGTCTTCTACTGATATAACGGGTTTTGCAGGGATTTGCTATTTCTCGGAAGAAATACTTTTGCATTTTGTTTGTTTGATCTCTGGCATTTAACTGGATGATGGACAGATGTTTTTTGGAAACACTCTTGGGCTAAATTCGCTAACCTTTCATTATTTTAAATGGACCAATCTTTCAGTGTTTTAAATGGACTAATCTTTCATTATTTTAAAGTCACACCTGGACAAATGGAAGCTTCATAGACTGAAAACAGTCGCTATACACAGAAACAGGTTTCACAGAGGTCCATGTCATTACATACAGTAATATTTCTATTATTTCCCATAAACCCACAGAAAGTTGTCTTTTACAGATAATCAAATGTTTTAATGTGCTTAAAATGGCTCACAAAATAGTATTTCTTGAAACCTGCTGAAAAACGATTTTGTTTGAAAGGATAACATGACTTTTTCCTTACGTCTGCTCCTGGATGCTGACAGCAGTGGGTGGATGTTCGAGGAAATGTCAAACATTTCTTTCCCCTCGAGCCCACCAGAAGCGAGGAGCCGGGCTAAGCTGGAGCAGGCGGACGAACGCATCGGTTCAGAAGAGCCCCTCGGCAAGGAGACAGTCCGCAGATGTTTGGGATTCCGAAGCTGCTACCGCCGCGCAGAACAGAAGGAAGGAGAGATAACGAAGGAGCGATAACGGCGATAGCTTTTACCCTGGATCCTCCTCCAGCCGCAGAAGACGTAACGGCCCGGGGTGGGATCGCTCGTGCTCCTGCCGTCTGAGCGCTGGTAAATCGGGACTTCCTCTGGCAGCCTTGTTTCCATTTCTCTTTAAACTGCTCCGTGGTTATATATATTTCTTTGATTGGGAGATATAAAACTGCATCTCCTTGGGCTGTCGGGTTTTTCGCAGCCCAGAGGAATTCAGTACCAAAAAAGAGAATCACACTGCTCGGACAGCCTTCCCGTCTACAGCTCAGCGATGCAAGTCACCCAGCAACGAGTTTGGGAGAAAAAACGGAGGATAGAACACTCTTGTTTATTCAGCTGAAACATTTATTCTCTGTACAACTCATATTGAGTACTAAAATCCCCTCAAAAGAGACAAACAAAACAATTTAATGGTAGGATTTCTCAGCATTCGTGGAAAATGGTATGGGATGGTCACAGCAGTTCGCTCAGGCCACCGGACTGCCCATCAGCCTTTCTTGCCGAAGAGCGATCAGCCTCTGAAACCACTTCTCTTCTGCTTCTGCCTTCTCGATAAACAGCTGAGGGAGAAGGGGGAGAGGAAGAAAAGCAGGCACGCCTCGTTAGCTTTCTCTTTGTTTGTAATGATCTACTGAAATACGTGTTGACTATTTCAGGGCCCAAAGAAAAAGCCCAGCTGTGGAGGGCTGTTGCAGTACAAAGGTGATATAAATCCATTAGGAAAGGCAGAGACTTTAAAAATCGGAAAGCCAAGACATTCCACGTTCAGTCTCCTCCTGAAACGGCAAGTTCATCACGTCTCATGGGTTACAGAGAACCCGCACGAGTTTGGTTACTGCAAGGCATCTTTAACTTGCTCACTCTTAAAACCGCTCTGCTCTAAGTACCCCTACTTCCAATTACAAGCTCAGCCACAACGATTCAAAAGGAGCCGAAGTTTGTCGTGTATTTAAAGCTTTCTGATTTGGCAAGGCGGGCAAGTTCTGAGTCTTCCACTGGGTTTCCAACTACAGAAACCACAAGCAATTTTTCCTGAATTTTTACTGAGCAGAAATTTTTATACGATCTTAAATTCCCCTGCTACTTCGTTACAAAATTCGTTTCTCACTCTAAAACTACATCACTGGTGAATTCCTTTTGTAATTATTCTCTATTAGATGATGCAAGGAGCGTGATCCTTTTTGAGCCCATTAGCTAACGGCCTTCAGACCACAGACTATTTGATGAGCAGCCCAGCAAAACGGTTGTCAGGACACGGGAACCTGCCCTCCTTCAATGGGCTGCCTTGTTCTGCAGGGACAGCAAATATCGGCACACTTACGTTTGGGTGTGCTAAGGAATTATCGTCTTGATATTTGATGGCAGTCGGAATATTGGCAGGTGGTGGTTCTTTTTCAGGAGCAGATGCATCCACCGCTCCCGCTCCGATGGTTACAGGTTCGTACTGTGGTTCAGGAGGCTCTATTGACTAAAAAGAAAGAAACACATCTGACTATTTTACCCTCAGACTCCCAAATGTGGCAGTATCTTCACTGAGGGCTCAGCTTTCTTCCCGTTGCAACTAAGGATCCTCGTGTCTATACTTCCCAGCGTGCTTAGTGGGACACCCTGGGCACTAAGGTCTGGAATAAAGACATGGAGTGAAAGAAAAAGGTATTGCTAAAGGCAACGAGAGAGCTTGTGGAGCCCTCGCTTTGGGTTTCTGGATCACTTCCTGAAGAAGCTGCGTGAACTTCTCGGAGACTTGTGAAAAGGCGAGAAAACGCACGTTCTGGGGGAAACAAACCGCGCTCATTCAAACCGCCTCGCCGTCAGATGGAAGAACCGCACAAAACCTCCGCTTGCGTCCCTCCAAAGACAAAAGCGTCCCAGTTCCCTAGAAGACTGGGCAGCCAAAATGCAGGTAAAACTCTGAAACCTGGATGCCTGCCGTTAGGTTTTTGGAAAGCTGTCTGAAAACAACGCCCTTTTGTTCCGGGGAGTAAACGCGGTCTGAAAAGGTCTGCCTTCAGCTAAGCAGAATTTAAAATACCGACCTCTCTTTAATTACAGTGTAAATGTCCGATTACTTTTAGAATTTAATTCTTCTGCTTTTCCTAAAACAAATCTCCATGGCTTGATATGATACTAAAAGCACTTTTACAAATCAGAGTTGCTCAGCATAGGTAGAATATACTGTCAGGACAGCTGATTTCATTGAAATTCTTACACATTCAAATGTATTCTTCTTTGAACGCCACACCAAGAGCATCGGAGAGTCATCGGAGGGATTTAAGATTGTCAACATTGATGCTCTTTCATCAATGAAAACTGTATTAATAGCGCAGCTTCCACCTGACTTTGAGAGGATTATGCACCAAGAAAGGATATTGAAAACTTACCTTTTTGACTTCTTTACTGGATCTGAATGTCTGTGGAACAAAGGAGTCACTTTCAATAGCTTCAATTTCTTTTACTCGTTTCACTTGCTCTACTAGGGTGGCTTGGTCTACAAAGAGAAGGTGTAATGTCAGTATACATTAGCGTACGCCCATGATAAATGCCGTGTCTAAGCAGTGCCTTGAATGTATTTTACAACAGTACATACCAGGAAAAAATCCACCTGTAATGCAGCCCAAAATACTCTGTTACAAAGAAAACTGTCTCCTTTAGTAAAAATAACAACAGCGACTTGGCCATTATTGTTCAACGTACGGTATCATTCCAGATGCCAACTTAAGAATTTGCTAGAGATGTCCTTGCAGGGTAACAGCTTGATTTAGGGCACGAGGATTTCCTGGAGAAGTTAAGGATTTGGGGACAGTGCAGACAAATCAGTGGAGTGCCATCTGTCCGTAGCAGTAGAACTACTTGTGCTTGCGTGGGGGTGAATTTGGCTGCAGACGTCCCCAGAGACGCGCCACCATTGCGCTCTCCTCGTGACAAGCGAAGTGATTGGTTCAGCATCACGAGCTACGTCGTTAGGTGAATTTGACAAAAAAAATCTTAGGATCCGGCAATAAAATATTCCCAACCCGTTAAATGTTGTGTGCTCACACGACTTGTAGGTGACAAAACTGCAGCTGTTTCGTCAAATGAGCAAAATTGCTTCTGTATTGAGCTGCGAGGTCTTACAGCGCCCGTGTACTTCACAAGGTATTTCTGAATCCCAGGCTGAGATTTTATTTTGATGAAGCGGATGCAGCTCCCAGTGATGAGAAGAAGGCGGCGAAGCGAAGCGAGGTGAAGAAGAGCAGCTCCTGCCCACCTTGCTATCAGCCACTCTGAACCGGGCTGCCGTCAGATGGGCGTTGCTAGTTCCTTCATGCTCCACCAAGCGATCTTCTGGATAGGTCAGACGGGTAGGAAGCTAAGGTCCTGAGCTCAGGAGTCACAGAACCATGGGCTTGAGCAGCAGAGTCAAAAGGAGATTGCCAAAAAGATGAGGAAAAAGCAACCCAGGATAAAGCAGTGCCATTTTTTCTGGTACCTGGAGTTTGGTCGGACATTTCATGAACACACAAGAATACTTTAAACACTACACAGACCAAGAAACCCAGAAGCGCCAAATTCTTTCTCTGTAGACAACCCTCTCAATCCAAAGTCACATGCGCTGCAGAATATACTTTCTCTTTTGCACAAGAAGAAAGAAATGTAACTTACATCCTTCTGCAATGATTAACCACTGAAAACTCCTTTCAGTCTAGAAATGCCAAGTAAGTGGAGCTTCAGACAAGCAAGACAGCGGCAGCCCAGAAATACGCCCGGACTGGACACGCGCACGCCAAGTTAACAACCTCATTTTTTACCATCAGGTTGTACACAAAACTGTTTTATTTTCGAATTTGTTCTCTAACGGCACGCTTTCCTTTACAATTATCACCGATTTACCTCCAACCGAGTTATGAGAAGCGTTTGCTTTATACATAGCCCACTGGGGCCAGCCTGAAACGGCCGAGGCGCTGTGTCGGGGAGCAGTGGGCAGGTCTTGCTGTCAGCAGCATTTAGAAAAGAGGGGAGGCCGCCAAAAGAGAGGAGGGGACGTAACTTTCAAGCAGCAAGGAAGAATCTGCCCCGTTGCTTAAAAATTATTTGGGAATATCGTTTAGTCTCTACGAACACAACGAACAGCCAAATCAGAATGTGCCGACCATCTCTGCGGACGCTGAACGCGCAGAACGTCAAGCCCCCGCGCTGCTGAGGCTGGGTACGGCACTCGGGCTGCTCCGGACCCGACGTTCCAACAACTGCCCTGAAGCCAAGCGCGAGGGTTGCCCCTCTGCGGGGAAACGGGCAGGGAGCAGCAGGAAGGGCGGCTGGCTCGCGGGGTGTCCTCGGCTGAGAGCGGGTGGCGGCCGGAGGGACGCGGGCCGAGCTGCGCTGGCTCCTCGCACGCCCAGCCCCGCGGCCCTGGAAGCCTCAGTAAAGCTTCAGTGTTGGCAAAGCTCAGGACAAGAGGCACGAGCACATCTTTAAGCCCCTTTCTTTTGAACTCAGAAGGAAAAAAATGACTCGCTTACAGTTAAGCTTGTGTTTAAAAGTTCCGTTGCCTTGCTGCTAAAGCTGTCTTTTTGAAAAAAGATTCACAAGGATCCCGTAGGGAGTATAAACCCAAAGGCACCAATGCCCTGCCAGGGAGGGGAAATCTTAATTCATCAGGCTCTGCAGGTAAACAAAGGAACAATAAGTGACCCTGGTAGTCACAGGTTTAAAGCCAGGTATCAGAGAAAGGCAGGTGAACGTACAAGCAGTCGCTCAACTTGTATTTCACAAACCCTTCACTCAATTCCCAGCCTGTTCCAGTATCTTACACGAATCTTGCACAAACCTATGGGAATGACAAGTTATTAAGGGGGCAAAAATCAGTAAATGTTTAGAATTACATCAGTGACATCCACTAGGGGAAAATGGGCTGGAGGAAGCATAACCCATTAGCGTAGGAGTTTTTTGACAAACACATTATTGGTAGATAAAACGACTTCCATATGTTGTTTGTCAGATGTCAGTAGAAAGGATATGTATTTCATAGTAAAATCAAAAATAATGGAGTCAGAAAGCTAAGAGGCTACAGACAAAACAAAAATAATCAATACTAACTCATTGCACAGCGAGTCTTTTTATGTGTTACTGCGAAAAAAAGAAACTAAATCTTGCATCGGGGCTTGTCGGGGCTGTTTTTCGTAAAAGGGTGAGTCACAAGGACTGTCCCTGTCACCAGCACTCCCCCGCCGAGGGTCTGCAGGGGGCAGCGCGGCCAGGGACCTCCGGGGTTCGGAGGCGGGGGTGCAGCCTGCGCCTGCCCAGCCCCACACTCCCCCGCAACCCCCCAAGGCGCCACCTGGGCTCATAAACGTCGCTGTTTCTGCCCCTTACTGAAAAACGGAGTCTATTAGGGGAACATTTAGTTAACATCATTTTATAGTAATCAAAGGATTTTTGCCCCAGATAGCCCAGGCAGGGCGGATTTAAGCTGTCCTTCTGAGGTGATGCAGGATGTCACGCTTCCCGCCTGTACGTACATCTGTTTCCATCTTCCCATGTACACACACATATCTACACACCCACACACAACTTTCACAGCTGCGGGTTTCCCATCGATTCAGTCTGTATTAGCAAGAATTTAAAGTGCCGCTTTAGAAATACAATGCGTATTCATCCTTCAGATGCCATCCAAAAATTTCACACACACCACAGTGAGAAACACCAGAGAATCGGGAAAAAGCAAAAGTAAGTTGCCCGCGAGCTCTGCGTAGAACACTCCCATTTCTTTGCTTGTTTTCAGAGACCGAACTGGTGACGACGCCCGCTAAGGATTTAACAAGCACTGAAACAGAAGCATTAAATGACTAATAACCTTGTGAATAAATAAAAATATATTCTGAATATTTCTCGTATAATCTTTAGGTGTAAATTTGTAACGTGGGCTGGATCCACTGCTGATCTTTCATCCTGAATGTGAAAATGAACCCATGCCTTTACCTAAAGAGTTTTCCTCCAAGCGGGTCTAACTTCAGAATCAAAGCAATGACATAATAAAATATTCCTTAGAATATATGTTTCTTCATATTTTACTAATTATATTTAAAGGGACATAGCTGGTTAATTTAACTGACCCATTGAAAATACAATACACTAAGTAACATACTTTGAAATACTTGCAAAAAAAAAGTTGCTGGTTTTTTCTGCTCTTTTGTCTGTCAGTGGAGGATGCAAAGAAGAAAACACCAACAGATACCCAACTACAAACCAGCTAAAGAGGAAAATGTTTTCCCCTTCATCCCGTTTCACTTCGGGCCAGCTCAGGTAGGGTTTTTGTACAAGTGTATACGTACAACTGCACGGAGAGAGGAACAGCGGCACCACGGACCTGGTGGTTTTTCAACACCACTGTGGTTTTTCACACGCACGGTGCTTTTTAATCCCAGCCCATCTTTACTTAAGCTATGCACACTGATGTACTCGAAGAAAAATGAAGTTTCCATCTAGACAAATTGCAACAGAAGAGAGAAGAAACTACGAGGCTTCAAGATGTATTGTCTTCTACAGTGCGTGGCAGCGCGATATTTATATTAAACAAAATGAAAGCACTAGGAGGAGGAGCGAAAATCCAGCAGGATGGGTGGGATTCACATTGGGTTTGTCACCTCTAGACTCTGCAAAACTTGGAACTCTGGGTTTTAGGGGATTTTTTCCCCCCTCAAATCTTTCCTCTGTGCTGGAGACAATTAGCACCAGCTAACGGGGGTTGTCCCCTGGCAGGGGCACACATCGGAGCCACGGGTATTTGCAGAGCGTGACCTCCAGTCCCAACACCTCTCCCAGGGTCCGAGCACGCCCGGGGTGACGGGCAGAGCTGGGTGCAGAACCTCGCTGGTGCCTTCAGCAGCAGCAACTCAGAGGTGAGACCTCCTGCACCAGCCACCCAGCACGATCCCTTTGCAGAAAACCGCAGGAAATCAGCCAAGGAAGGAGCTGCTCCCGCACGCTTGTGTGTCAACGCAGTGTGGGCCCCTCACCCCGAGTCCCTTCTCCTCCTGCCCGGCTCGAGTCAGGTGGGACCCTCGGCGGCGCTGGGAGCTCCCTGGGGATGGAGGGTGGGAGTTCCCCAGGGAAAAAGAAGGATGGGAGCTCCCCGGGGATGAAGAAGGACAGGAGCTGCCCAGGGAAGAAGGGCAGGAGCTCCCCGGGGGTGAAGGGCAGGAGCTCCCCGGGGATGAAGGGCAGGAGCTCCCCAGGGATGAAGGGCAGGAGCTCCACAGGGATGAAGAAGGACGGGAGCTCCTCGGGGATGAAGAAGGGCAGGAGCTCCCCAGGGATGAAGGGTAGGAGTTCCCCAGGGATGAAGGGTAGGAGTTCCCCAGGGATGAAGGGTAGGAGTTCCCCAGGGATGAAGAAGGATGGGAGCTCCCCAGGGATGAAGGGTAGGAGTTCCCCAGGGACGAAGAAGGACGGGAGCTGCCTGGGGATGAAGGATGCCTGGCAGCCCGGCCGCGGCAGGGCCAGCCGTTA